TTTCCAAATTTCAAATATAGGTTCACCCAAATCCAAATTTACAAGTTAGTACACATTAATATAAATTTCCATAACTACCTACTTTAACAATCGTAAGTACGATTTTTCAACACTTCCCACTTACCCCAATCTTAATTCCAAATTTCAGTGTTCCATCTCTATTGGTTGTCTATTGGTTCACCTAAATTGTACCATTTAGTACCTTTCGTACTCATAAGTGCATATATCGAAAACTACCTACTACTACTCCTACACTTCGGCGGTAATATTAACTTAAAATTTCAAGATTCGTTCCTCCAATTTAAATTGTAACAAATTTAGTACCGTTTGGTACTTTTCGTATGCACACATCCGAAATCCTAATATCAACCCTATTTATTATCCTTGATGAGCATTCCAAATTTCAAGTTTTTAGCTCTACCTATTCACATGCTACGAAATTGTAACAAATTTAGTACATTTTAGTACTTTTTGGATACTTATAGTTCGACTTTCTAAAACCCTTCGAATTTTTCGTGCCACCCTAGTACGAATTTCCAAAAACCTTATCTGACACCTTCGAACTAAGAGTGATCCTCACCCCAAATTTCAAGCTTCAGCCGGTTTCATCTCTGCGTTGATGAGTCGTTAAGTCAGTCAGTTAATCAGTGAATCAGTCAGGCAGTAAGTAAGTCTATCGTTATATAAGAGGTGTGCACAGAACGGCAGCAATCCTCACAGCCGGTGCTCAAAGAAGCACTCCTCAGTCTGCTGTGATTAATTGAATATAGGAGATATGGACGTGGTGTGGGCCATTATGGAAATGCTAATGTTATCAACATGACGGGAAATTAGTATAAACTCAGATTTATGACTCTCTACAAAACAATTTTTTGACAGCAGCGAAGTCAGTCAAGGAGTTGTATATAAGTGACAAGGTACTGATGACTATATTTGTCGATACTCAAACGGCTCTAAAAGCAATCAGACCAAACACTCAGGACTGCGACCCAGTCAAGCAATATAGGAATTGATGTTACTGTTAGGCATTATCTTAGCTACTATTTTGGCAAGATCCGTAAGATTTATATCAAGAAAACGAAAAAATAGTCAGGCTGAATCCCAGTTTGTTGTTTTTATAAAAAACAACTATTTATTAGTGGGGAATGTATGGAAAGTTTTTGCCGAGGGGTAAGGCAGGGAAGACTATAGTTTCGGATCACGCCACTGATCCTCATCAGTTCCCTTAGTTTTTTGTTGGGATATTCTCCCCAGAAGCTATTGCTTCTATACAAAAAACCTTTCATACCCAAATGTCTCTTGTAACAAAGCGAAGTACTTAGCTGACCAACGACATAAACTGCATGAGAATTTCGCTGGAGCCTCACTTCGAGGTTAACAAGGCATTTACAAACAATACCACACCTTTCCCACTGTTGTGTGTTGTCACATCGCGACAAGTGCACACAACGACTTTGTTGGTGTTGCTAGTATACAGCAACAAACCAAACAGTTTAACCGTGCCTGCGTCTACAACTTCAGTAGTGTTGGCGGTTTATTTCGGATACCATTTTTATTTTGTTTTTGCAAAATAGTCAGGCTGAATCCCAGTTTGTTGTTTTTATAAAAAACAACTATTTATTATCCCCACTAATAAATAGTTGTTTAAAAAAAAAAACAACAACAAACTGGGATTCAGACTGACTATTTTGCAAAAACAAAATAAAAATGGTATCCCAAATAAACCGCCAACACTACTGAAAACTAAAAAAATATAGAATGAGACATTAATTCCAATGATAAGTTAAATATCGCTGCATGGATCATTACAGGTTAATGCAGAATCAGGTCTCTTTTTCAAAGTAAGCGCTTAATTAGATGTCTCATACTACGCAACAGAAGCATGTTTACATTCTTTACAACGTCTTCAGGATGATCGCAATGGACTATATGTCTCCGAGTGGAGCGACATTCTCTTGGCAGTTACCCATTGAAAATTGTGGGCTCTGAATGTCCCCGACGAATATGTCAACGTTTTGAGGTCAGGTTACTGTAATAAAAATATATTTTTCAATATATGACATACAAAAATACACACAGAATATTTTTGATACCATATGCATATTTGCCGTTGAAAAAAGTAACATAGGATAGGCTTAAGTTTCCTAAAAAAATTATTAACTAAATCATTTTTTGTTTTTTTTTTTTGTTTTTTTTTTCTTTGTTCTGAATATGAAGATTTCAATATTTCACTCATTTTCAAAACGATCATTACACAATTTCTTCAAATATTTATTTTGATAACTTTCAAAACTTTATGAATTTTTTTCTTTGGGCGCCACACCTCTTTATACAAATTTCTTTCTGTCGAAGATCCCATATGATTTTCATCACCAGCTTTTAACAACAACAATGCCATCAAAAATAAAATTTTGAACGATGGAAAAGGAAGAAGCATATAAACCGGAAGCACTTGTGTACATCCGATATGACAGTAAAAGTGTTTCGGTGTATGTGTGTCTGTGTTGCAAGTGCCAAAACATTCACAGTTTGCTTATATTTGTATTTTCAGATTTTTTTGTTTCGTAACTCATATTCGTCGGTATTTATATAGTCTGAAGAGTATTATACTTGGCTGTGAAGTAAAACGAAATGTATGTGTGTATGTGAAAAAAAAACATATTTGCATTGTTATATATATTTTGTATTATGAAAATTGTAAGAATACCGAAGATGTGTGTGCTGGTGTATCTATGTGATGTGGTTGTGTTATGGTATTTGTAAATATAAATATTAGGGTGATTTAAATTAAATTAAAAATTGGAAGAAAGTTTTTATTGTTGCATACACCAAAAATTTTCTTTATCTTCTTCAAAATAAGCATATGTAAATTTTTTGTGTATATTTCATCCATAATTGTTCAGGCCTTTGGAGACATTTTATGAAATTATAGGGGCATGCAGATGCGCGGTAAAATATTTATATAAAATTTCACATTTTTTGGTGAAATTATATAGGCATGCAGATGCACGGTAACATATTTATAAAAAAAAGTATACATTTTTTGCGGCAAGTCATTGTTCGCTGGAGAGAGGGGCAAGGGGAATAGAAATTAAAAAATTGCTCGCACCGACAATTTTCTGGCACCTCGTTTTGTGTATTTTGTTTGTGGTGTCAGCAATTTGAAATACCAATCCAAAACATTGTCACAAAATGTAAAAAAAAATATTTTTGAAACCGAATTGCCTTGTATAGACGCATGAAGCAATTTCAAAAGAGAACGATAAAAATCCCGCAAGTAAAATCGCCTAATCTAAATTAGGACTAATGAAAAAATTACATCGGCCTACTGAACTCTTATATAAGAAATATTAGACCTCCGGAGGCCTAAGAAAAGACCTCGGAGGTATAATCCATATTTTCTATAAAATATTATAGGTCTCTGGAAGTTTATGAACAAATGTCTATAAGATATTATAGGCCTCTAGATGCTTATGGAAAAATTACAAGTCTGTGAAAGCTTATGGAATTTTTTCTTGAAAAATTTGAAAGCAAAAATAATTGAGATAGACCCATAGTTCCTTTTGAGAATATGCATAGAATCACTTTCTGAGTCGATTTATGCATGTCCATCCGTCCGTCCGTCTGTCCATGTTAAATTGTAAACAAAGTACAGGTAGCATTTTTGATCCGAATTGGATGAAATTTGGCACCACTCAAGAACGAACCCTATTGAAATTGGGAAAAATCGGTTCAGATTTAGATATAGCTCCGATATATATTTTCGTCCGATTTAAGGTAAATGGTGTACCAATGTTCCTATATATCTTTCGATTTGCACGAAATTTGGCATAGCGTACTAAATTTAGTCTAGAATGATGTGTGCAAAGTTTCGTGAAAATCGATTCAGATTTAGATATAGCTCCCATATATAGCTTCGCCCGATTTTAGGTAAATAGTCCACTAAAGTCCCTGGAAATATTTTCATTTGCACGAATTTTGACATAGCGTACTAAAGTAAGTCCAAAATGATGTGGGCAAAGTTTGGTGAAAATGGGTTCAAATTTAGATATAGCTCCCCTATATATTTTCATTCGATTTTAGGTAATTGGCACAAAAGTCTCTGAAAATCATTCGATTTGCAGCAAAATTTGTCATAGCGTACTAAATTAAGGCTAGAATGACGTGTGCTAAGTTTCGTGAAAATCGGTTCAGATCTAGATATAGCTCCCATATATATTTTCGTCCGATGTTATGCACCAAAGTCCCTATATATATTTCGATTTGCACGAATTTTGGTATAGGGTACTGAATTAAGTCTTGAATGATGTTGCTAAGCTTCGTGAAAAGATCCATAGCGAGACCGATAGACACAACGTACTGAAGTAATATACATTATTCTTTGGGAAGATTCACTGAAATCGGTTCAGTTATAGATATATAACAAAAACGCGTCGTCTGTTAGGATACATATGTACAATATACCCAAAGTTGTGAAGGGTATCATATTGTCGGCCCAGTCCGACTTTACTACTTTCCTTACTGGTTAGGAATAGAATATCGCGTATAAGAACAAAACATCGTTACACCCTATTACCAATATATTTTACAACATATATAAAGTAATGCCAACAATGTTGATCGATATGATTCAGGATACTTTTAAGTGAAATGTTTATATATACTTTGTGAACGGAAATTCATACACTTAAGTTCGTATATATATATATATGTTTGCGAAAAATATAAATGGTTCTTATTACAAAAAAAGAAATAAACTCATCCATTGAATAACAAAAGATAATACAATTTTTTCCAGTAAATAACAATACAAATATTTTCTTACGGCTTCATCTCTTTTTGTGTGGTTAATGAATTTTTTACGGGGCCCAAAAGGAAATACACCAAATTTAAGTATCTCCCTTTGAATACTGTGAATATTTCGCCAATCAATAAAACTGTATTACTCAATATTTAAGTGGCATACTTAACCTAAATTCTTTTTTCTTTTTTCCCTTCAGATGCACCTGTTTGCAGCACAAATACCTTGGTTGTCATTGGTGCCTCCCTGGAAGAGGCAGTACTCATACCCTGTCGTGTTAATTCCGATCCACCTGAAATTGAATTTGAATGGACATTTTCAAGTAGTGGAGAACATTTTGCCGTACCCTCAGCGCATTATGCCACCATACAAGAAACAACCACGACAACGGGTGATATACATCGGACAATTGTTGAATCAAATGATACACATTTCGAAACTTATGGTAAGATTTAAAAAATGAAATAAAAAAAAGAAAACAACTTTTTTATTGCAGTCGGAAAATCTACTTAAAAAATTGTTTGACTAGAAAAATAAACAAAACAAAAATTCTTAGTACATACTTGAAACATTTTGTCTTATATTTGTTCTTTTCTTATTTTTGTGTGTCTTCTTCTTGTCTTTTTTTCTCTCCCTTGTCTTTATTGTCTCGTTATATTCTTAGTAGAGACTGTAAGTGAATTGATTTATACACCAAAAGGCGAACGAGACTATGGCACTTTGGCTTGCTGGGGTAGAAATTCAATTGGCAAACAATCAGAACCATGTTTATTTCAAGTTGTACCAGCTGGTAAGTTTATGTTGGAAAACAAAATAAAATATATTTAACAAATGTTTATATAGAATTTTATGGAAAGAAATTTTCTTAAATTTTTGTGGATAAATTTAATGTAACACTTTGTATGAATAGTAAATTATATGATATTAAATTTAGTCGTTAAACATATATATTTCATTATGGCATTTAATGTGACATGATCACATTAGTCTGAAGCCATTTGCTGAAAGCCATTAGTATGTCTATTTAATTATTAATTATGCATTATTATTTGTCTGATTGCTTAATTAATTAAACAGGTGGATATTTATTTTGATTGCTTAGTTAATGAATTGAATATTAACATTAGTCTGGCCAAAACGATTTTATTTAGACAGCTAAAGCAGCAATTATTATTAAATGACTAATTTTTACTATAAAATTATGTAGGTACAATTAAACTCTAAATATTGATGTATTGCAAAAATTCAGAGATTCTAGATTCATTGAGATTCCTGAAAGTTCAAAATCTTTAATATATGAAGGGTCGACATTTTTATAGCTTTCACCATTAATGTGTACATTCAAAACGCGATGGTAAATTGTGGCCTTCTGAACACGAAATGCCAAATTACAGACAATCAGTTTGAAAAATTAGAAAAGGAACGTAGACATACCGAAATGGACCCGGGACCTTAGTATGGGGAGTATATAGTAATATGGACTTATATTGAAGTATTCGTTGAATAAGTTGATTACCCACTAATTCGTAAAATGCAGTCATTTCGATTTGAAAATGTGCGTATGTGGTACAGGAAATAATATCCTGTACCACATACAAAACATTCAATTATAGTAAATTCAGTACACTGTACGAAATTGTGTGCCGGTCGGCCAAACGTTAGGTCTTTAGTGCATAATTTACATTAAATTGGGCGAAAATATATATGGGAGCTAAATCTAAATCGAAAGAGATTTTCACAAAACATAGCGCACATCATTCTGGATCTAATTCATTATCCTATGCCAAATTTCATGCAAATCGAAAGATATATAGGGACTTTGGAGACCCATTTACCTTAAATTGGACGAAAATATATATGGGTGCTATAAATAAATTTGACCCGATTTTCTCGCAAAATTTCGCGCATATCGAAAATATACAGGGGCTTTGGTGCACCATTTACATAAAATCGGAGATATGGGAGCTATATCTAAATCGGAACCGATTTTCTCGAAACTTGGCTCACATCATTCTGGACCTAATTTAGTACTCTATGCCAAATTTCGTGCAAATCTAAAGATATATGGGACTTTGCTGCCCCATTTACCTTAAATCGGGCGAAAATTATATGGGAGCTATGTATAAGTCTGAACCGATTTTCTCGAAACTTGGCACACGTCATTCTAGACTCAATTCACCCCTCCCCCCCCCCCTTCTCGATTTAAAATTTTACAGACTTTCAATGGGCTAGTATATGAATACCAATGCTTGTTATGGTCTACAACTTTGCCCATATACTCGTATATTTAGAGATTTAAAATAGAAGTTGTAGTTGTTGTTTTTAGTGATTGCTCAAAAATCTACAAAATATTTTTTTTTTCTTTTTTATGTTAAATAATAAGTGAGATTTTCACCGATTGGTTTTATAACAGCCCGCCATTCACATAAAAACTATTTCGAAAAAAACGAGTTCAAAGTGTAAGAATCACTCTTATCGTCACTTGATAGTAACACAATAAATCGGCCATATCTTCAAGAGTTGTTGAGATTTTCACTTGAAATTTCACAGAGATATTTTTAAAGTAGTGCAGTTTCGAATGAAATCAAAAAACAAAATTAAATTTTTTGAAACATAGAAAGAGGTGCCATTAAATACGATGACTTTCTTCTGCAATTTTTTGATTAGGCTTCGGTAACAAAAATCCTGTTTATACCCTTACCACATAGAGTATTATGTCCGCATGCATTCTTTCGTCCGTTCATGTATTCTTGTGAACAATGTACATGTTGTAATTATGACCAGAATGAGATGAAATATGGCTCAGCTCTTTTAGTCGGACCAAGGATGGACCCTTTTGAAATTGGTCAAAATTGGAGCAGGTTTAAATAAAGCTTCCATATATAAATGCTGCACCGAAAAATGTTTGTCAGATTGACACGATATTTGGATCAGTGTCCCAAAGTTAGTTAGTAGACTAACGTGTGCCAGGTTTTCTATTTTCGTTCGATTTGATATACTCGTAAATGGTGCACCAAAAAACCTATGTTTCTTGCATTGAAACGAAATTTTAGATAGCGTATTGATTTAAGCATAGAATGATGTGTGTAAAGTTTTGTTAAAATCGCCACAGATTTAGATATAGCTTATATATGTATTTCCTTCCGATTTAATTAAAATGGTACATTAAAGAGCCTATGTTTATCAGACTTACTCGAAATAAGTTTTCTTGAAATTAGATTTAAAAATATATATTTATGTCCGATATTATGAAAATGGAGCACCAAACTCCCAAGATTTGTACGATTCAGATTTATATATAGCTCCCATATATATTTCTGACCGATCCAATAGTGTTCCGAATATGCTAGAATGCTACTAATTTGGCCAAAAATATGTGACCGGAAGATAGTCAAAGGAAGAATAAACCACTCTTCATAAAACCACAATCTTTATTTCATTTTCGGAACGATTTCGGCATCAGAATCGAAAACATGTGCAGAGTTTTCAAAATTTCCCTCAAGTTTTTCTAAACGAATTAGTAAAGAAACTCGAATATTCCTTCCGTTTTATTTTTACGACCAATATTTCCGAATATGTGGGCACCACAATCATTATTTCGTTTTCGGTACGAATTCGGCATCATAATCTGAAACTTGTGCAGAGTTTCGTCCCAAATTCGGTTCTGTTTAATGTAATTTTGAAGAAATCATAAGGATACAGGATAGGCTGGATAGATCTCAGCGTTAGATTGTGTCAATTATTTCTATGAATCGGCGGATAGCATAAAAATAGGCCTTGTCCGACTACTACATGCACACATTGTTTTACAAAAGAAATGTCAAATGGGTGTATAATTCTGTTGGATACACAGACTGATAATTTCCAATTAATTTCAGATTAGTTTTAGAAATATAAATATGAAATTAGTTTATAAAATTAATAATTTTATACTGCCCTCGTTCCAAATATATGCCTATATTTGCATTTTTTGCAATATGATGCCACCAACAACAATTTATTAGGGGATTGCATGTCGCCTTGTCACTTAACGTAAATTTACACTTCTCAGTTCGTTTTGGTAATTAATGCCGAAAGTCATGTTATTATGGTTGCAATTGTATAATTACCTAGTTTAGGGCAATAAATATTAATTGCTAGTTTTATTTTGGACTGTAATTAAAACAATAACAAAGATGCAGCGGCGAACAATTATAAATAACACCGCCAGCACAACAGCTATGATGTAACAAAATATGCCCTTTGAACGGGGTGAAAGTGGAAAATTTTTAGAATTAGCAAACTAAATGAAATCATTGCTTGCGAATGGCGGGAATTAGATTTGAGGCTATGGAATTATATAAAAAAACTAAATACATTATGTAAAATTCAAATTTCCATCATGAGATTTTTTTGAATTGTATTCAGAGAAAATTAGAAAATAGAAAATGTTAATTTTTAAGTAAAATATTTAAATATTCTTGTTACAATAGACATCTATAAATTTTGTAAATTACTACATTAAAAAAATTGTAATAAAGTTTATATCATTAGATTTCAGATCTAGGATAAATACAAAAAAATCGCCAAGTTTTAATAATTAAAGAAATTCAGCATATCAAAAATCTATGAAATTGTTTTATGAATATTGAGTTTTGAAAATAAGTTTTGGACAAAAAACGGTTATATTACAAATTATTTGTTGAATTTTCTCAATTATAATATAAAACCAGCAAGGAAAGTAGTAAGATCGGACGGGGCCGACTATATGATACCCATCACCACTATGGGTATATTAAACAGGACTATTAACATGAAATTGGATGAAATAAAATATGTGATATTTATCTAAATGTGAATCGGACTAGATCTATCCATAAACATGTCATTCGTTTGGGACAAAAGTATGAAAATCGACTTCAAACAAATCGACTTCTAGAAATCGTAACTACGTTATTCTAGGCTCAATTTTGTACGTTGTGCAAAATTTGATGTCAATCTGACAAACATGAGGAGTTTGATGTACAATTTACTTAAAATCGGACGAAAATATATATGGAAGCTATACCCAAATATGAAACGAGTTCAACGAAACTTGTCACAGGTTAAGTTATAC